TCATTCATGATCACCAGATGGATAAGTTATTTCATTTATCATGAACTCATTAAGGCGTGACATCATTTGGTTACAGATTTCGCCTGATGCTCGGTAGCATATGGAAAGCAATTAAAACACGCCAACATTTACAGTAAAAAATCAGGTTTATTCTTATATCCTGATCCTGGAATCCTGGAATAAAAACGTTACTCCATTTTAGTATTTAAGATGAAACAGCCAACCAATTACTGTGTCCATGTTTTTTTCTGGTTTTGAAATATTCTGCACTTTAAGGACTTGAAATTCTTTTTTCAATAGGCTGACATTTATAAAGACTGTTTCGGATTTATGTTGAAATGGCATGCTTAAATCTCCAATGACACATGCCACCTATGGTTATTTTGTTTAGTAGCTCCCACGGATTGCCCGTCGTGGTCAACAGATGGCCCTGTGGGTAGGTTGTTGCCTGCCATGCCGATAGTGCTGGTTCAGTTCTCTATGGGGGCGGGGATCATGGTTACAAGGCCAGAATCTAATGTTCCATAGCAAAACAAGTTTGGCATATGATTTGACCAACAAAAACTACTTATATTCAGATGTTGGTGCATTGTTGGCCATTTTCATTAGCTTGGTTGTGTCAAACAGTCATATGAGGAATCGCATGTGCATCTCACTGCATACTGATTGAAACGTAATAACACATTTTCTGCTGACTTATGAATTATCATTTAAAGGAAGTGAAAGACTTTAAATACAAAATATATTTGTTTGTGTACCACTAATTTTTGTAAGTCAACTGCTAGCCTTAATGTGTCTGTTGGTATAGTTTTCAAAGATTTTAGTCTAGTGTGAGTGTACTTCTGCATTTGGTTGCAAGATATCCAATATTGTGTTGGGAATATTTGACCTTACCCTCCGTCCTTCCCTCCCTCCCTCCCTCCCTCCCACTCCCCCTCCCTCCCTCACTCACTCACTCAAACCCTCCCTCACTCACTCACTCACCTGATGTATTTAGAAGTAGGAGTATTTAAGACTCATCTTTAGGACCTTGTCAGCTGTGGGGGTAAGTTCAAGTACAGGTATTAATAGCTACATCTTTTTCCCCCCGGACAGAAAACTCACTGAACTAAACTTTCCGACCGGTGTGTTTTGCATCTTATTATGTGCATGTTAATCGTGCTACACTTTTCATGATAAGTGAGCCAACATCATGTGTGCACAAGCTCGTCCCAAGACCATGAAGCTATTTTCTTATCATGTCCTGGTTTTAGATTTGTCTTTTTGAAGTGATTCTAGGTTTATTTTTAGAGATTGCACTGGAAGTTGCCTAACAGTTTAGTCCTATTTACACAAACCTACTCTCAACATATGTGACTTGCTTATCGGAATGGCACTATGGTGATGCTTGTTTTTGAAATGTTGACTCATGAATGTCAAATATGAATTGTTTGGAAATCAATGTCAAGTTGTCAGGATATATATTCGGATTGTTTATATAAAAACACAAAGTGTGATAGGTCCAGTTAATTTTCTCTCCCTGGGTAAAATAGGCTTGTTGTCTTGCAAGAGGTAATTATTTGAACAGAAATGGTTTTAATTTACATGTTGTCTTAGAATTTGAATCGTTGAAATAATACAATTTTGATTCAAATGTTCATCTTGCAAAGTTTTCCCTTTTTGTATATGTCATCACATGGTTCACTGCTGACACTTAGAGTTCAACTTCATATGAGATTTCCCGGATGACATGAGTTAGACAAAACTGGAGACACCCCATCAGAAAAGAGACGTTTTCATCTGCGACATAATTAGCAAATAAATGACAAGCGGGAGTTGTTTGTCATACAGGGGGGCACGGGTGGACCAGTCGTCTAAGGCACCATGATTCGCTGTGCAGAGTTGCGTCCCTTGGGCATGCCAGAAACCTATGATTGTGGGTTCGAATCCCGGTTTGCCCTGATTATGTTTCTAGGTTTGTCAGCACCATACCCGTGCTCATGGGTTTCACCGAAGTGGTAAACGTCTGAGACCTGCATCACTTCGGGCTTTCCTCCCACATTAAGCTGACACGCCGTGATATAACTGGAATAATGTTAAAGCAGTGTTAAACCCAACTCACTCATTCACTCACTCGCTCACTCACTCACTGTTTATCATACAATAAAACACTTCAGAGAGAATAAACCATGAAGGGTGCAGCCCCAAGTGGTTTATTCTTCCTGCAGTATTTTATTGTACGATAAACAACGACTGTTTATTTCTTATATAAGATATCAACATTATTTACAGTCTCTTAAGGATGATGATAAAATGTCAAAGCTTTAAAGATATATACCCAAATTTTAAAAATGATGACTCCCTCAATAGAATCCGATCTCAGCAATGTCGGACATGTCCATTTATGCACATGTGGGTATTTCCTGCATATTCTCACAATCCTCACGTCGACTACCTGTACCTTTTCTTCCAATACCAATTGTCATCTCTCCCGCTTTTGTATGCAATCGTTAGGCCATCACGTTTATCTGTGTTTCCCAGCTACTACTATGGGGAACAACTCACTAGACACTCCCCTCTCAAAATAATGTCAGCCAATATACGATAAGTTTTGAGCCCATGTTTGTATCTCCAGAAGTCACGTAATGATAGAACAATGTTGGATGTTGGCAGGGGATGCATGTAGATGGGGCCCTAAGCTGAGTTGTGTCCCTTGGACGTACAAGAAACCAATGATCGTAGCTACGTTTGTATGCTTCCTTCAGAAGCACATACCAGGCAGTGTAGTTCATATGGAGCTTCCATAATAACTTGTTCATTAGATACATTATTTGTGTGCTGGGCACTCATCACATGCTTCTGTGCAATGCAACCTTCAGCTCAAGGTCATGTCACAATAGAATTCCTTAAACTTCCTTCCCTTTACTGCCCCTGCTCCAGTGATGTCAAAAGTAAAACGGTTGACCTATTTTCCACTGTAAAGCAGTAATATATATATATATATATACACACATATACATATACATTATATATATATATATATATATATATATATATATATATATATATATATATATATATATATATATAGCCAATCAGTGAGCAGAGCGCAACTCTGTCAGGGTGCAGTGACATGCAGGCCGCAGCCAGATCCGTGTTAGTCAACAACCCATGCTTATTGTAACGGGATCAGGTGGTCAGGTTTGCTGACTTGATTGATGCATGTCATCGTATCCCAGTTGCATAGATCGTTGCTCATGGTGTCAGTCACTGGATTGTCTGGTCAAGATTTGATTATTTACGAGTGCGGCATTTAACGAAAAACACACACAAACAGCCTGACCTTCCAATCCTCATCAGTAGCTGTTTACTGGGGTATAGTTGGGACCAGTTCTACCCCCAAATCCCCCCAGTCTAATTTTTAGGCTATATAAGTAGTCATCAAAGGATAATTTGCAATTTATGTTGGTTTTGTTATGCCTCTGGCTGTTGGGATTTATGTTGGGAAACTGTGTGTAGTCTTGTTAATGCTTCAGTCTGGAGTATCACAGTCACTAGGAAGTGTACAGGAACCAGACAAACCAGTGATTGATAACATGAGCAACACTCATCATTGGGGATGATGACTCCTAAGTCAGGCCACACAATGTTACCAACCAATATGATTTTGTTATTGGTTTGTTCCATGCCAGACACAACGGGAATCTAGTCTACCAGAATAGCGGTTGTTGCGATACAGTATTGCTGACGATGGCACAACAGCCTTACTCACTCACTCACTCAAATAATGCTTCAGTTTCAAGGATGATGTAAAGTTCTACACAATTATCAAACATAATTACTGGTGTTGAATATCGACAAATTGTGTTGATATTTCTGCTAGTAATTCTGTTCATGACAACCAAGATTTCTATTTGTGGAAAAGGAAGCCCGCAAATAGACATAATAATTATAATTATCTATCATTATTGTCTTGTTTTGACAGTCAGATCTTACATCCTGGTGAAACTGTGAGACTTAATAATTGTTAAAATGGTGGATTTTGAATAAGATTAATATGCAAGATGACAAACAAATTATGATACAGAGCTAGTTATCTTTAGATGGGAAAAAGATAAGACTAACTTTTATATAATGAGTATTTTGTTATACGTCATCAGAAGAAGATAAAAGTAAATAATTGTGAAATTAATTATAATTTACACTGTGAATATATTTGTAGTATTAGAAGCTTGTTATGCGACAGGGCTGTGGTTGTGCTTCATGCAGCTTGTTAGTTTTAGACAAATGTGCTTTATAAGACTGGAGCAGATATCTTTTCAAATCTTAGTTGTTATTTTTTCATAATAACAATGTTTCTGACAAGCACCTGAACTTTTGTTTGGAGGGAGCTTATAGTGGGACATGTTCTGTCCGACGCTTAAATGTTGATCATCTCAGCTGTAGTCTCTAAAACCTGGTCACAGAATGCTGAGCTATTTGATTTGAAGCATGGCCACCATATTGAAATGTCGTCCATGCCCTCTATGAAATGTTTCTTTATGAAATTGTGGTGTACATTGACATGTAAAGAATACTTGTGAGCTAACTTATTTGCCTATTTAACATCTAGTTATGCTAGTGTCAGTGTGTAATTCAATGCAGTGAGGATATATTTTGTACATACATTTCTGTTACTTTTCTCAGTCTTTTGTACCCTTGTAAGAATTGTTTTATCTCATGTGATATTCCAGAAAATGTCATGTGAGCTATTATCCTTGTCCTTTGTTATGACGTTATGTTGAAGGTAATGCTGATGCTATAACATCATGTTGTAGGTAATAATGATGTTATAACATCTTCTAGTTGGTAATATTAATGTTATAATATGTGGCAAGTTAATAAGGATGTTATAACTATTTCAGCTCATTTTCCCTGTTGTGATATTGGAGTAAAGCATGATAATAAAAGCAGCATTAAACATCAATCATGCACTTTGGTTATTATAATGCTTTCAATTTTGATATTTTGTTTTTTTCCAGACAATTACGGGTGCAATGAGCACGCTCAACCCGCCAGTTGTGCTAGGAAACCCAGAAAACCAATTCCGTGTTGATTATATACAAGATATTGCCAGTCAACCAGATTTTGAGTACCCAAGTGTAAGTATTGAACATTTCCATGAAATGGGAGTTTAATTCTTTTCTAGGAATTTGACTGTTGTAATATTTGTCATGTCTTTAGGATAAGATTAATGCCTATAGATGTCTTTCAATGGACTTCTTTCAAGAGGCCCTTGTTCCATACTGCCATACACATTAAGAAGCTCATTGCTCTTGTGCCCTACTACATTGAATTTCCAAGGCCCAAGAGATCCCAGTATCCCATGCTAAGCGAGTTTAGAGCTAGCTGACGAACAGAAGAGTCAGATAGTTACAAGTGAATCTTTGTGCCATTGACATGGATGGCCCAGTTCAAGATGCCGAGATGCATCCTTGGATGGGCACGCCAGAAACCTTCGTTCGTAGGTTTGAATCCTGGTTCACCGATATGTTTCTAGGTGTTCTAGGTACAGGAATGTACGAACATGCTGTACATAGGGATATACGAACATGCTCTACACAGGAATATACAGACATGCTGCACACAGGGATATACGAACATGCTGCACACAGGGATAAGGGAACATGCTGTACATAGGGATATACGAACTATTGCACACAGGACTATATGAAAATGCTGTACACAGGGATATACGAACATGCTGTACACAGGGATATACAAACATGCTACACACAGGGCTATACGAACATGCTGCACACAGGGATAAGGGAACATGCTGTACACAGGGATATACGAAAATGCTGTACACAGGGATATACGAACATGCTGTACACAGGGATATACGAACATGCTACACACAGGGCTATACAAACATGCTACACACAGGGCTATACGAACATGCTACACACAGGGCTATACGAACATGCTACACACAGGGATATACTAACATGCTGTACGTAGGGCTATACGAACATGCTACACACAGGGCTATACGAACATGCTACACACAGGGATATACGAACATGCTACACACAGGGCTATACGAACATGCTACACATAGGGATATACAAACATGCTGTAGACAGGGATATACACAGGGACCTGGTACTTACAACTGATATTTCAACTGGTAATACTGAGACACGATACACAGGGACCTGGTACTTTCAACTGGTAATACTGAGACACGATACACAGGGACCTGGTACTTTCAACTGGTAATACTGAGACACGATAAACAGGGACCTGGTACTTTAACTGGTAATACTGAGACACAATACACAGGGACCAGGTACTTTCAACTGGTAATACTGAGACACGATACACAGGGACCTGGTACTTTCAACTGGTAATACTGAGACACGATACACCGTGAGCTGGTACTTTCAACTGGTAATACTGAGACACGATACACAGGGACCTGGTACTTTCAACTGGTAATACTGAGACACGATACACAGGGACCAGGTACTTTCAACTGGTAATACTGAGACACGATACACAGGGACCTGGTACTTTCAACTGGTAATACTGAGACACGATACACCGTGAGCTGGTACTTTGAACTGGTAATACTGAGACACGATACACAGGGACCTGGTACTTTCAACTGGTAATACTGAGACACAATACACAGGGACCAGGTACTTTCAACTGGTAATACTGAGACATGATACACCGTGAGCTGGTACTTTCAACTGGTAATACTGAGACACGATACACAGGGACCTGGTACTTTCAACTGGTAATACTGAGACACGATACACAGGGACCTGGTACTTTCAACTGGTAATACTGAGACACGATACACAGGGACCTGGTACTTTCAACTGGTAATACTGAGACACAATACACAGGGACCTGGTACTTTCAACTGGTAATACTGAGACACGATACACCGTGAGCTGGTACTTTCAACTGGTAATACTGAGACACGATACACAGGGACCTGGTACTTTCAACTGGTAATACTGAGACACGATACACCGTGAGCTGGTACTTTCAACTGGTAATACTGAGACACAATACACAGGGACCAGGTACTTTCAACTGGTAATACTGAGACACGATACACCGTGAGCTGGTACTTTCAACTGGTAATACTGAGACACGTTACACAGGGACCTGGTACTTTCAACTGGTAATACTGAGACACAATACACAGGGACCTGGTACTTTCAACTGGTAATACTGAGACACAATACACAGGGACCAGGTACTTTCAACTGATAATACTGATACACGATACACCGTGAGCTGGTACTTTCAACTGGTAATACTGAGACACGATACACAGGGACCTTGTACTTTCAACTGGTAATACTGATACACGATACACAGGGACCAGGTACTTTCAACTGGTAATACTGAGACACGATACACAGGGACCTGGTACTTTCAACTGGTAATACTGAGACACAATACACCGTGAGCTGGTACTTTCAACTGGTAATACTGAGACACGATACACAGGGACCAGGTACTTTCAACTGGTAATACTGATACACGATACACAGGGACCAGGTACTTTCAACTGGTAATACTGAGACACGATACACAGGGACCTGGTACTTTCAACTGGTAATACTGAGACACGATACACCGTGAGCTGGTACTTTCAACTGGTAATACTGAGACACAATACACCGTGAGCTGGTACTTTCAACTGGTAATACTGAGACACGATACACCGTGAGCTGGTACTTTCAACTGGTAATACTGAGACACAATACACAGGGACCAGGTACTTTCAACTGGTAATACTGACACATGATACACAGTGACTGTATGACCTTATATTTTCAGTGTGTATTTCCATCCATGAGGTGATAACATGCACTGTGAGGCTGAAGTGGTGACTTGTCACATGCAATTAGACAAGTCTGTCAGGCCACTGTGTATGAAGGGATCGGGTTGGTGGTACAACCTTGTCCAACTGGTAGTACACTTAGAAGAACACATAATGACCAGTGCTAAGCTGGTTCTATCTGGGGGATTGTGCTGTCCAATATTAATATGTTAAATCCATAATAGGTACCATGTTGCCTGTACCTGTTGTCTTAAAAACAACCCCCACCACACTTAAATCAGTAATGAAATGTCACATATTTATGTGATAAATTAGGAAATAATATATTATTATATTTTTTATCTAAATTTGTAATAATTTCTGTTTTATATTGTAACTTTTAGATCTATTCAAGGCATTGGGGTAAATTGATTCACAGAATTATGTGAGTTTTGTATTTGGTGGTGAGATGGGTGGGAAAAAATATCTAATAAAATATTTTAAGTGGGGCTTGATGAAGCCAAGTTGAAACTAATTGGGCAACACATTGGGTGTTTACAGGGTTGATATCATTACCTCTCTGAATTGGTGAAGTAGGCCTGTCATACCCTCTTACTGATATCTTGTCTTGAAAGACACACTGTCTATAGCAACCTTCCATGGTTTACCTGTTGCCATGGTAACGGGGAGCCTGTGAATTTCATTAAGCATGGAAAAGTACATGATATGGTGTGTATTGACTATATGCTTTGCAGCTTACCAATGGTATTGTGTGATTACAGCCAGTTATGAAATGGTGTTATATAAAGCTTATCCAGACTAGAATTTAGATATGGATAAGATAACGTGACTTAAAATAGATGGAACTGTATAACTGAAAATAGTTTTCTATGACAATGCTATGTAGCTACTACAATCGAATCAGCAAGTTTTTTCTATCAAGATAAGGTTTGTAATATATGTTTATGCTGAGAGAAATGCTACAATTGCATGAAGTAGAAAAATAAGATAACAGACATAAAAACTATTTCTTTCCGTTCCACATGAACGCCATAGCACTTGTAGTTCCGTTTAAACATTTCCAGGTCAATACCTACAGAAGCTGGATGTTGATAAGAAGTTTTAGAACAAGACAAGGAAAACTAACATTCATAACTTCAGAATTTAGGAAATATTTGGATAACAAATATTTATAGGCAAGTCTTTTTCTAAATCATACCGAAACTGCTGACACATAGGACTTCATACTTCCTGTTCAACGCCTTTAACATTGTTTTATGATAGTTTATTATTTGTAAAATGTAGGATAAGCAGATCTTTATATCTTAATGTATGAAGAGAAAAAAAATTGGTTAAGATATGTGAATTTCTTTGATATTTATGTCTATTTGTGATATAATAAATGTATATGCATGTTTCAAGCTTGTATCACAGACAACCTTGGAAGGAGCTATTTTAAGTTCTCAAGGAAATGTTAATTAAATGTTATTAAAATAAAGTGAGCTGTTCTATTCACAAGTTAAGTCGCCCCCACCTGTGCATTGTTGTAGGCGGTTCTATTTCAACCCTGATGTATTGTGTTGTCCTTTGAGTGTCAAACACTTCGTGGTGATTTATTCCAAAGAAAGATGATCTCATGTAAGGGATGTTATATATAAAATCAGCTAGTATTTTGTTGCCATAAAAACTGTTTTTCCCTTGTAAGGGAAACCATTCAACTACATTTTGTTAATATGTATGATTTATTTTAACAAAATGTGACCTTGGTGAAGTATTTAATCCCTGGATGAATGATAGACGACCATGCTGGATGGGAAACACCAGCTCAAATATCTCCAGTCGTATGTGTTTCAACATTATGGCATTGATGCACCTATGTTCATATTTCAGAGCCGGTCATATGACTGTGCGCTATGAAATACACCGACAGTCACACATTCATAGCTCCGAATACCGTTATGTCTAAATTTAACCTCCATTCCTGGGTAATTTGTATTTTTTCTACATGTTGGTAGACACTTGCTAAGCTTGAATGATCAGCTAAGAGGATATGGCCTGTAGGAGGCCGCGAAAAAGCCTGTATCTCTCAACCCAGTACTCCATTATGCAACTGAGCTCAAGTTGGGCTTGCACAGGTTGTTCCTAGATTATTGAAGACACCAAGCCGCCAATCAAAGCAGACTGGCTATTTATAGCAGCAAACAATATAAGAATGGTATATTAGGTATTCAATGTGTTGCCTGAAGCGTGGCGAGGCCCGTGCTGTTCTGTTGTTGTGAATATATCCCTCACTGGCCAAGCTTCGTAATG